AGACATGACCCTGGAGGGTGACTGGACATTTCTGTGTGCCGTAGGAAGATGAATGCATAGCTGAATTGAGGTTAGCTCGGAACTACCCCTCCCTGCCAAAGAAAGAGAGGCTGGGCTGGTAGTATTGGCACAAGAAAGGAGAGGATGTATGAGGCAGTGGGAAAGTGAACTTTGAGAACATGGCAACAGATTGGCCATATCAGGGAAGGCTGGGCCTCCCGGTTTATGAGCTACTGGGAACATTCACTCCACATCAGTTATGTGCCAAGCTCTGCACCAGCTAATGGGATGTGACATGGTGAGCAACACAGACTGCTCTGTGTCCTGGTGGAGCTTCTGGCCAGTGAGGAGACCGACTTATGGGAGCCCTGGTAAGCAGCAGGGTACCATGGGGACTTGTGATCTGGTCTTGAGCAGGGAGATGGCTTCCTGGAGGAAGTGACATGTAAACAGAGGAAGGTGTACCAGCAGAGGGAACAGCATGTGTAAAGACTCAGAGGCGGTAGGATTGAAAAAAGTTAGCTAAGGGTGGAGAGGAGTAAAAGGGACAAAGGATAAGAAGCTTGAGGACTTGATCCTGAGACATATTTAATGGGTTTTAAGCAGGGCGGTCAAATATATCCTATAGAATAAAAGGCACATTGTCCCTTTGGGAGTTCAACTGACTGGAAGTTCTACCGCTCACTGTGATGTGCGCTGACCACCAGGGGGTGGCGCAGAAGGAAGGCAGGCCCCGGCCAGCAGCTGGCAGCAGGAGGAAGGCCCCAATTGCTGGCCAGGCCTAGGGACCCTACCCATGCACGGATTTTGTGCACCAGGCCTCTAGTGTATGTGTGTGTGTGTGTATAATTTTAATCCTTACCCAAGGATATTTTTCATTGATTTTTAAAGAGTGGAAGGGAGAGGGCAAGACAGAAATATTGATGAGAGAGAAACACATCAATTGGTTGCCTCCTGCACACGTCCTGACCAGGGCCTGGGCCAGGAAGAAACTTGCAACCATACCAGAATTGAACCCAGGAGCCTTCAGTCAGCCGGCCAGCGCTCTGTTCACCGAGCCAAACCAGCTAGGGCTCAAATGTATCTTTTGAGAGGGAAATGTTCTGGCTGCCAACACAGCTGGACCAAGGCTGGGAGGCCTCAGGGTTCTGAACAACGGTGGCTTCAATGATGGCAGGGATGAGGTGACGGAGACAGGTGGTTTCTGATATTTAGGCCAAACTGACACACTTCCGTTCCTGGCCAAACGTGGCCTCGCCCCTCTCCCGTCCTCAGGAAACCAACATGAAGCAGCCCGTCCTGCAAGACCTCATCCTGGACTAGAACGTGCAGAACGGGAGGTGGTCCTCACCGTCAGCTTGGGGAGCAGGTGGGCAGCTCTAGGACTCCCGTGGGACCCAGCTCTGCCGAGATGCTGCCAGCAAGGATGCAGGGGCGGTCGCTGGCAACAGCTAGCTTGTCTAAAGGCTGGAAGCTTGTTCCCAGCAAGCCGTGTGAGCAGCAGTGGGGTGTGGCGGGACAAATGCTGCCGGTAACCGGTCTGGCCCAGACCTTGGTCAGTGACCTGCAGTGGGCACTGTCCTTGAGGGGCTGGCTCTGCAGCAGTGGCTGTAGGCTGGCCTTGGCAGGCAGCTCTCCAGAGATGCCAAGATTAGAAATCCCAGGGTCTCCCGTCTCAGGTGAGCACCACGGGGGTAGCTCTCCTCCATGCCTGCACAGAACCACTCTAGGCAATGCCATGGGTGGGGTGTGCGCGCATGTGGGGGAACAGGTATCCTCAAACTGAAGTTTCCACATCCGTTAAGAAGTTCTGTGTTTTAATTTTTAAAAAAATATATTTTATTGATTTTTTACAGAGAGGAAGAGAGAGGGATAGAGTTAGAAACGTCGATGAGAGAGAAGCATCGACCAGCTGCCTCTTGCACACCCCCTACCGGGGATGTGCCCGCAACCAACGTACATGCCCCTGACCGGAATCGAACCTGGGACCTTTCAGTCCGCAGGCTGATGCTCTACCACTGAGCCAAACCGGTTTCGGGAAGAAGTTCTGTGTTTTAGAAGCGGCTTCTGTCCAGAGTGAAGCAGGCAACCCTTGGCCTTTAACATGGAAACTTTCTCATTCTCGCATGCACTCACACACACTAAGGCAGGAAAGGTTTTGTTGTTGTTGTTGTTGTTTTTAAAGCCTTTTATTATAAAAAAAAAAAATCAAATTTTCCCACTGGAAGCTATTTTTTTTTTTTTTTTTAAATTTTTATTACACAAATATCTCCCATTCCCGTGTCAGAAGAAAGATGTCCTTGCTTTCTCTAAAACCAATAGTGGAGAACGTTTAGAAAACAAAAGTCCAACTAGCTTCCCTCTTTCCCTGGCCCAAAATAACCCTATGTGTCAACTGAGATATAGCATGACTTGTCCCCTTAATGCTTACATTTAATTTAAATTTTTAGCACAACATTGGAGACAGACTAAATCAGCAACAAAAAATATATATTTACAATATTTCTCCGGAAAAAAAAACAAAAAACACAACCAAACCCTTTAAACATAGTGACTTTAGGAGTTTTATTTATGGAGCAGTTATTTTTTAATCACCAAGTGATTTTATATTATATATATATTTATATATATATAAATTTTCTTCCTTTCCTTTGTGGTTTTTCGCCCCGGTGCTTGGAAAGACGGAGGCAGGGTGTGTGGTCCCGGGGTCTGAGGGCAGGCTCTCCTGGCAAGGCAGCTGCTAAGAGCAGATTGCAGGAAATGCGATGGAACTCCCAAACAGGAACACTTCTTTCCTCCACGTGGACCATCCCTCACCTCGGAAACCATTCCCCCTCACAGTCCCAGAGAAAAGGAAACCCCAGCAAGGGCGAAGGTCCATCTGCTGCCGCTCCTGGGTTCCTTTTTCTGTTGACCAATTCCGTGCACGGTAAAAATGCTTATTTTTCCAAACCCAAAACGAACAAAAATACAAACCAAAACCCAAAACAAACCATCAGCTTGGAAATTTCTGTGGATGAAATGTCCCAAAGTCAGAGGCACTCTCCCGGCACAATCCCTGCGCTGAAGGGGTCTCTCCACCTCCCCTTTTATAAAAAGACAATGAAACAATCTTTTTAGTCTTTTCCACAGGAGCAACCAAAAAAGGCAGGAAGCTTCCAATTATAGGTCATTAACAATATTATAAGGTTTTTGCTCAATACCCAGGGTTCTTTACAGAGAAGCTCCCCTAACTGAGGCACTCTGGAATAAGTCACTGGCGTTTCCTCAAAGTTTCCCCCCAGGTCCCTGGGCCTGGAGACCAATTGGGGGGGGGGGGCGGGCGGGCAGAGGGCCATGGAGCAGACTGCTGTTTTTAAGGTGCAGCCGAGAGAATCAGCAGATTGGAAGATACACACCACGCTCTCCCCTCCTACCAGGACCCGGTTTTCTCGTGGGCCAGTCGATGCCAGGGTCAGAGCTGGGCCAGGTGGCAGAGGGGCCCTCTGCCTCTATTGCTTTGGAAGTGGCAGGTGCAGGGGCGTCTCTCCTCACGGTGCCCGGGTTCCTTGCCCTCCCCCTAGAGTTTCAGAAGAGCCTGAGACTGGGATGCAGAAAGGGGACGGGAAGGGATGGGGCCAAGGATGAGGATGAGGCGGGCAAGGTTGTGCTATCACTGTCCTTCTGGAGGGAGAGCAGAGTGCAAATCCGCATCTATCACTTGTCAGCTCTTGCCACAGGCTGCTGCTGTTGAGCATCTCCTCACACGTTTCAACACTGACCCAAAAGAAATTCCGACCTTTCTTCTTCTTCTTCTTTTTTTTAAAGTGCAAAAAGCTCTCTGCTGCCCTAGAGAGAGGATCTTTGGACAGGCCGTTCAATGCAAAGAAAAAGGGGCAGCTGATGGGGCTTGACACTGGGAGGTAAAGTAGGAGACACCATGCTCCCTCCTCCCTCCCCACACACACGCGTAACACACTCAGCCACACACACAGAGGCACATGCACACCCCCTTCCAGGGCCGCAGGCAGAGGGCAGGTGACTGGCTTCTCAGCAGGAGCTCCCCCTCCTCCCAGTGGTGCCAGATCAGTGAGCTACTGGGACAGACACAGGCCTGCGCTCCAGGGATTACACGACACTAGAGCCTGGTGCCTGCTGGGAGGCAGGTGGGAACCTGGCCCAGATCTCTGCTCCCCCAGCGGGGCAGGCAGGCTGCTCCCTCTGAGGACCCCATCCTGGGCAAGCCCTCTTCAGGCAGGAACAAGGGGATGGTGCCTGTCTCAGAACCTGCTTAGAAGCAATAAAATGGGGGTGTCCCTGGATACAGTTCCAGCTCCTCTGAAGAGCCTCAACCCCAATAAGTGCAACAAGGACCTCAGGACCTCACAGAGACTGGCGGGGAGTCTAGGGTGGGTAGCCTCATCACGTGAGCGGACGTGGTGCGTCAGACAGGACATCAAGCTAATGGAGAAGAGGGAGGACAGACACAGATGAGGTCTTAGACACCTCAACAGCACCAGTGTGACCTGCATGGTCTGGCATTCCTGGGGCTCCGGGCCCCTCCTATGTAAGCCGGGAGAGTGTGACGGAGGAGAGATACTGGGCACCAGAGGAGAGCCTGGCCACGGAGACAGGGCTGCTTTCCTCCCTGGGAGTTTGCTCGGAACAGGCCCCGTTGGGGACCACGGACGGGAGGAGGCCAGGGCCTAGCACAGATGACCCAACTGGGAGCTCGGCCTCCTGGCAGGCCGGCGGCAAGTGTGCAGGTGAGCTGGCACCTGGCAGCACACGGCCGATGCTTTCCCTTCGCTCAATTCGCTGCTCCCTTTCCTCAGGAGGGAGGAGCAGGCAGGTAAGCCCGGTGTCCACCTCTCTGCCCGCCTCTCGGGGAAGGGCTCACAGGACAGGAAAGCAGAGGGAGGGTGACGCTGGCCTCGGAGCCTGTGCAGGGTCAGGGAGAGCTCTCCCGGCGAGCGAGTCAGGGAAGATCGGTTTCCTGTTCAGTCTGGGCCAGCTGTGTCTTAACTGATCTTCTGTATCAGCTTCTCGTCAGACAGGCAGTAGAGACTGTTGATGGACAAGTCTGAGATGAAGTGCTCGCAGGCTTTTCGAGTGATCTGCTTGCATCCTCGAAGGTCGATCAAGGTGACATTGGCGATGCGCCGTAGGTAGATCAGGGTCTGGTCTGTCAATTTATTGCAACCTGCGGGGAAAGTGACCGTAAGGACAACTCTATGTACACACGGCACAGGAGCCTGCTCTGTAGCTCAATCCCCAGCTCTTCCCTTCAGAATGCTAAACCAGAGCCCTCTGTATCCTAAGTCCCTGTGGCCTCTGAAAGCCCCTGCCCTCTCACTTCCTGCATTTGACGGTGACCAGACTGCCCTGGGCGGTGGCTGTGCGCTTAGGCGCCCGACAATCACTCTAGGGATTGGCCACCATCAGTTAGAAAAGGGAGAGAAACCCATCTCTGTCCGTTTGAGAGGAAACAAGGTCACACAAGTTTCCCAGTTTAGTCATCAGTTCTCCTGGCCAAGCTCCAGGAAGGCCCGGGACTTCCAGGCGGCCCGGGCGGTTCGCCGGGGACACTGCGGCAGCGTACCTGCCATATTGAGCTCGGTGAGGGAGTAACGAGTGGAAGACCCGACAGCAGTGAGGAGATTGGAGGACTGATCTGTCAGGTGACTGCAGTGACTGAGGTCGAGTCGAGACAGGAGGGGCATGTGGCGAATAATGAGGCGAAGCGTGGCATCTGTGATGTCAAGGCCTGCCAGCCGGAAGTCAGTCATGTTCCGGAGCTTGCTGCGATTGTCCTGACCTGCGCGAGCGAGAAAAGAGCCTAGACCAAAACTCTACCTCCATTCCAGCCCCACACCGACGGGCACTTTTCAGGCCAGGCCCCCTAGGAGAGAATAAGCAGAACTGCCCACACCGCCCTGCCTTCCAAGAGCAGTGTGTGTGTGTGTGTGTGTGTGTGTGTGTGTGTGTGTGTGCGCGCGCAGTTTCTAGGAAACCAGGCCTGTTTTCTTTCTTCCCAGCTGCTGGAATATGCCCCACACATCAGAAGAGCATGTGCAGTATGCCCCACCTTTCCCACACTCCCAGACTTTTCTAGATCATCTCATGCAAACAGTTCTTAATGACCCACCTCCACCAGGAAGCCTCCCCAGACTTCCTTAGGCTTTATGCTTTCTGGACCCCAAATGCCACTGACCCACAAAATGGCTTACTCCTTTGTTTGCAGGTGGTTGTCTGATTGTAAATCATTAACTGTACATACTCTAGCATGCTGTTCTCAATCTGCACAGCATCATTTCTGAGACTTTACTTTGGAAGATGAAGTTCACGGAAGATAAAGCTACATACCAAGTCTGTTGAAAGACTAGCACAGAGAAGTCAGGCACAGAGCATACCTGGTTTATCGGCAGGCGGAGTCAGCAGGTCCCGTATCTGCGGGTCCTTGATTCCCACTGCCCACCGAAGATCGAGGGTCCTGAGGAGGGGGCAGCTGGAGGTGCTGAGGGCGGAGACTGCCGACCAGGAACAGCCGGCCAGGAGAAGGTCTTTCAGTCCTGCACCGGCGGAAAATGCACGTGCAATAAAATATACTCTCTCGGCACATCCACAGCCTGCCTAGCAGCTGAGCTGACTAAGGTAAATGGATTCCCAGTAACGGGAGAGACTATGTCCTTATCTGATTGCAGTAACCCAGCTCCAAGATTCCTGAGCACTCTCCTATATCACATCTTCTAGCTCTGGTGGTAAAACCAATTCCTTAGTTCCTACAAGAGCAATGCAAACGTGATCTCCTGTCTTTCTAAATGCTGAAAGGAACGGGTCCTTCAAGGAGCTGACCAAAGCAACATCTTACTCAAAAAAGCCATGTGAGGAGAGCAGCACCTGACCATTCTTTTCCCTGTCCAGCGCAGTGACTGGTCTGCCAGTCCAGAGTATACCTGGGAACCGGCAGTTAAGGTGACCCTGAATAAATCTCTTGCTAAGCAGAAAGGCGACTGTGGTCCGGGCCTGCTGCCTGAAACACTGCTGCCAACGAAGCGGCTCTCCCCGCCACCGCTGGGCCTGGGAGGCAGCGGCAGGGCTGCTCACCTGGCAGCCTGTTGACGAGCCACGTCAGCTGTTTTTTGGAGATGTTGGTCCAACTGAGGTCCAGGCTCACGGGCTGCCTCTTGATGATGCCGCTGAGCGCCTGGGGTACAATGGCCTTACACCTGCTCAAGTCAATCTTTGTCCAAAGTCTCTTGTCACAGCACCTGCAGCAGAGGGAAAGAGGAGGAGCTGTCAGGAACTCAGTGTCCTGTTAGAGGAGCCTCCAGCAGTCTGCTGGCGGCTCGGGGAAAAGCAGCGCATCTGGAGGGTCTCTCTGGGCTCTTCCACAGCTTACAGGCTCATGCCTGTTGTACTTTCTCCGTGAGAGCAGGGCTTGTCCTCTATAGGCAGCCCTACAGAGACTAAATGGACAACCTGACCAGTTCACCTTGTCTACTCTGAATGGGCCGAGAACACAGCAATCAGTAAGCCCTCGTTTGCATTAAAATGGTATGGCTCCTACCTAAGTGCATTGAAGGGAGTATTAAAAAAATTTCTCGACTTCTTACTGCCAAAAGCTAGGAGCGACTATCTTCTTTCCCTTGTCAGTCACTCCCACCTGCGTGGAGATGCAGTATATCCAGTTCATCCTGCCTCCAGCTCTGGAAAGAGTCCATATTGTGTGGAGCCAGCTCTTTCCCACCTGGGTTTCGGCCTGTGTTCTCTCCACATTCCAGGCAGCGCAGACCAGAATGGAGAGGGGACTGCCTCTCCAGTGCAATCTGCAAGCCCCCAGGCCACAAATCCTGCTGCCACATCGTTTCTATTTACTATTTTACAGCGCCTGTTCCGCAGCCCGGCTGGGGCTAGCGGACCGCAGAAGGGAGAGGCACATAACGGGAATCTTATGTGATCCGGCCTGGAAACCCAGGCGGCTCACTAGCCCTACAAAGAGAAACATTAGGAGAATTTGTGTAGCTCACACCTTCAGATTTGGGAGCTTGTGTTTGTGAAAAATGGGGTCTTTATGCTAAGACTGAAAACTTTACCAATGACACGTGAAACTTTTCTGGCAGAAACAAGCAGCTTACCTACAGCGTGGCTCTCAGACTTGAATGTGTCAGAACTCCGGGAGGACTTAAGGACAGACTGACCGGCCCTGCCCTCAGGTTCTGTCAGGTGGGCCCTGCGTGTCTAACAAGGTCCCAGGTGAAGCCACTGGTTTGGGCATCATCTCTGAGAACTACCCAGACAGGAAGGGCATGTCCTAGGGTTCAGAAGCTTGAGGAAAACCAGTGTCCTAGGAAAATCCTTGTTCATCATCACCAGCCTCCCCCCACACCCCAGGCTTAATGTTTAACTTGAGAAGAAACTATTGGCCTCATTAAGGACAACTAAGTCTCAGGAAGCTTAAAAACTGGACCCTGCTTGTTGGAGAAAGCAATTCTGGTGCAGATTTTGGGAACAAGAATTAGAACTAGAGGACTGGGAGCACCTTCCAGCTTTCGGAAAAGCACGCTCACTTCTGCCCTCAGAGGTGACCGAGCAGGAGGGACGGGCGCCATGTGTCTCCAGGACCAGGAGAGTGACTGGCACGCCACAGGCTCTCAACAAATAAGTGACTAGTTTCACGGGCTTGCGGGGAAACTTATGGCTGAAGTTTTCGCACAAACTACAGATCCACCCCCCAAACCAGTTTCCTGTGCCCAGTAAGAGATGGAAAAGTACGAATACGAGAGAGGAGGCAAAGGGCCAAATCTCTCTCCTGGACACAAGTGCCCACATCTTGAACCAGAGCCCAGTCTGAGGAACAGACTAGGTCGATTCCATCTTTTAGGTCCCGACAAGCCTCCAGATGCCAGATCACATGCTTATCTCATTGGAAAACCTGCCACCTGCTCCCATGCCCCTTGTCCTGACCCCTGGGTCCCCGCTCACCATTTATACCACGTCTTGCACACTCGCATACATTCACAAAGTTCTCTGCGGCTGAGGTAGCGGAAGACAGACATCCAGACCTCCCGCTGCATCCAGCTTTCGTCTCCATCCTGAGCCCAACTGCCCCGGCCATTCAGCCTGGCCGCACCCCCCTCCTCTGCACTGTCCTCTTCCTCCTCCTCCTCCTCCTCTTCCTCTCCCCCAAGCCCCTCCTCGTCCCCGCGCTGGGGGGGCCGGGCCGGGCAGTGCTGCACCAGCACGCGGGGGGAATGGCGGAGGTTGGCAGAGGAGGCCGTGATGGCCTGCAGCTTGGGCACAATGGAGGTCCCGTGGAGCTCTTTGCTGGGCCTCTGCAGCGTGACAGTGAGGTACGATCCCCGGATCTTGGCCTTCTCAACTTCAGACAGCTCCTTTTTGCCGCTGGGGTTGTTCTCCTTTTCCCGTACCATGGAGCGCTCGGTGGCCTGTAGCCGCAGCAGCTGCCGCCGTTTGAAGCGCTCATCGCGGCTGGCACTGTGGTGGTCGCTGGGGCCGGCCCCAGGGGAGGAGCGCGTCACCATGGCCCGGGGGGAGACCGGGTCGTGGATGAGCTGGAGCATGGCCGTGGGGGAGTGAGGCGGGGGGGGGAGGGGCTCGTCACAGCTCCGCAGGGGCCGCAGGACTTTGGCTTGCACAGCGTCGTCGTCACTCTCTTCCATCTTCCGCTTCTGTAAAACAGGCCCGAAAAGCCACGTCAGGCCTCCCTGCTCTGCCAGCGGACTAGGGAGAAGACAGCTCACTGCTTTTCTGCCGAGAGAAGCACCAAGAGCTGCTCTGGCAGAGGAGATGCTAGTGGTGAAAGGAGAGAGGCCTCCATTCACCATGTGCACTAGGATGCAAACCCTGAGAGTGGCCAACACAACGGGCCTTCAGCTCCACCGTGTCCGAGCGCCTCTGCCCGCTGCCGCCACTCGGCACCACCCTGGCCCCGAGACCAGGGCAGATGGGAGACCAGCGCAGAGCGAGGACTCTGGGAGGAGCCTGCCCTGGACGGGGAGGCTGGTGAAGACCAGCTTTCAGGAAGGAACACAAACTTGTCCCTGCCGCTGGTCTCTCCAGCCTCGGCCCTTTCCGGAGCCCGCCGCGGCCGTGCGAGATAAAGCCTAATTAACTGCTTCACTAGGTTTCCGAGCAGCAGCTGATTTTCGTGAAGGAGGAAGACATTTTCTGACCCTAAGCAATCAGCCTCCTCCTCGTTATCATATTTTTAGTGCACTATGGTTGGAAGAGAATATCCACCTTTTGGGTATTGGCTTTTACCAAACATAGTACTAAAATATAGTACCTGGCAACCCATCTGCTACAACAGAGGAGTAATGCCCACCACTACCAGTGAAGACAAATGGAGAACCTGCTGGTATAAAAACTGGCTCCTCGCCCTGGCCGGGTAGCTCAGTCGCTATAGCATTGTACCAATGCGCTAAGGCTGCGGGTTTGCTCTCTGGTCAGGGCACATACAAGAATCAACCAGTGAACACATAAATAAGTGGGTCAGCAAATCCATGTGTTTCTCTCTCCCTCATCAATAAATTAAAAAACAAACAAGCCCAGCCGGTGTGACTCAGTGGTTGAGTGTTGACCTATGAACCAGGTCATGATTCAATGCCTGGTCAGCGCACAGGCCCGGGTTGTGGCCTTGATCCCCAGTGTAGGGCCTACAGGAGGCAGCCTACCAATGATTCCCTCTCATCACTGATGTTTCTATCACTCACTCTCCCTTCCTCCCTGCAACCAACAAAAAGATATATTAAAGAGAAACAAAAACAAACCCCAAAAACAAAACAAACCCGTTCCTAGTATAAAAACTTGAAATACAGAGAATTCTAGATTAGTCAACTCTAGAAATCTTTGTCCTCAAAGATATTTAGACTGAAAACTCAACTAACTCACTGCCTAGGGCGAAAGAAACAGAAAGACAAGGACCCTTGTCTCCACTCCTCCACAGAGCATCCAGAGACCACCGGGGCCCGATGGCGGACACTGGACCGGCTCTCTCCTCTGCATGTGCCCTCAGCACAGGCCTTGTCTTGCCAGCCCCAGTAACCAGAGTCCTTTTGGCCCTTTGACATTACTGGCGACCATTGGGCCAACAACCACGGCTGCTCAGGGCCAAGGTCATGGGACTGGTCTCCTCTGGGGGAGGGGCTGCCTCTGCAGGACACATTTGGGCCTATGGGCAGACTTTCTGTGAGCCCAAAGGTGAAGATGGCAAAAATGTGAACCTGCTTAACTGGAAACTCCGGCACACCACCGTATTTCCCAGCTGCTTCAGACCTCTGCTACAGTTTCACTCCACAGCAACCGGGCTCAAACAGCCCCGCTGGGTTTCCCCTTTTTCTAGGGCCCCAGATTGTATAAGAACCTCAGCCATTTATTTACAGACCCCAAGTGGAACAATATTCAATAACACAAAAACCAGACATTAAAAACTCAAACAAAAGGCCCAGCTGGCATGGCTCAGTGGTTGAGCGTCGACCTATGAACCAGGAGTCATGGCTCAATCCCCGATGTGGGGTGCGCACGAGGCAGCCGATCAGTGAGTCTCTCTCAGTGATGTTTCTGTCTCGCTCTCCTTCTCCCTTTCTCTCTGAAATCAATAAAAATGTTTAAAAATAAAAATAAAAACTCAAATAAAAAAAAATAACCAAAGGGAAAAATATAAAAAAAATAAAAAATATCCCTGGATCAGAAAAACCATGTGAATGAAGTCACAAAGGCAAACACCTCTTAAGCTGATGTTTCCTTTCTTCTCACAACGCAAATCTGGATGAAGTTCCCTTACCTGGGCTTTCTCTGAGCTGTCCTCCTGGTAGCACTTGGGACACTCCCAGCAATTTGGCAATTCCTCGTTAAGCAACCCCTCTCCATCCATCTATAGGCAGACAGGGATGTTAAAAATCTGTCTCATTACAAAAAATAAAAAATAAAAAATAAAAAAGCAAAAAAATAAAAAAATAAAATAAAAAAGCAAAAAAAAAAAAAAAATTAAAATAAAATAAAAAAGCAAAAAATTAAAAAAGCCTGACTCTTAAGCCTCCTTTATTAAATACTAATCACCACGTGGTTAGGAAGGACCTTGGAGAGTTACCCATTCCTAAATACATTGGCTCCTAAGAGAAAAAATTTAGTCTCACATTACCACAGGGAACGCGACCCTCGCTCTTGGTCACTTGATCAGTTAGGCTCTATGAGGAAATCCCCAAGAGTCTGGGGCCTCTTCTCTTGACACATTACTCCAGGGGTCTCATGTTTGCAAAGGAATGGCCCAGACCCAATCTTAACAGCGGGGCATAGCCTTGACTGCTTGGGTTCAGAGACAGAGGCCTCGCTCTGTGGCTCAATGAGCAGTGGGAATAAATAAGACTCATTTTATAGGGTTGTGGTGAAGATTACGTTAGGTATTATGTAAAGTGTTTAGATAAATACCTGGCATGTAATAAATGCTCCGTAATTACCATTTTATCGATAACATCCTATTTTATCGATTCTAAGATGCGTATTTTTCACATTTGAATCTTTCTGAAATTGGGCTGCTTCTCATAATTAACAGTGTTTGATAATCGTTGTCATCCAGGTGCAGTCATGACATAATTGCACCTCTGGGAAGACCAAAAAGTACCAGCACCAATGCTTTTAGATTTAAAGAAATATAAAGAAACGAGGCAGGCAGACCCAGCTTCACACAGTTCTTAGAGCTTAAACAAGGGAAGGCAAGGAAACCAGCGGCTCTCCGTCTCAGCTGCACATCAGGATGATGGAGGAGATTTTTAATGCCTCAGCCCAGGTCTGGGCTAGAAGAGTTGACTCAGTCTCTGGGATCTGAACTTCCTTATTACTTTTTTAAAGCTCCTCGGGTGTGCACTAAGCCTGACACAGACTGAGCGCTCATTAAATGTTATTAGCTAATGTTACGACTCTCACTGCTTTTTAGGAACTAATATCCAGTGGTAGGATGAAGTATGCAACAGAGATGTTTACAGCCATGAAACATTCCAAACAGACCTCGAAGTTCCCTGATGGCCTGGAGACTCCAAACACAGTCTCCACAGGCCAGAATGTAAGCTCCCTGAGGGCAGACACCTGCACTTTCTTGTGTACACGGCCTAGCACAGGGTCTGACACCAGCAGACACATTTGGATCAGGGTAGATTTACATCACTACAGGACCCTCAGCTGATGGCCCACAATATGCATGCAGGCAGTTTCTTGTACATATAACCCAGGTTCCTTTGCTCCCTTGTTTCTATCAGCTGACAGCCCAGGAGCCCCTCCGGGTCTCACCTGGAGACAGCCAGGATGAACAATCTCATTGCAGATACAGCATTCCATGAGTTTCTTTTCAAAGTCCTGTGTCTCCTCATTCTGATCCACTTCTCCACAGAGGGAGCATGTGACTGAGTGAGGCAGTCTGGGCTACAAGAGGACAAAGATAGAAACCAAGAAAAGAGCAGACTTAGATCCTTATCATTTCAGCTTCCCTTTAATCGAGATGGGCGATTTGGTTCCTGTGACTCTATAGTAAACACGGAGGGAACAGGAGCCCAGGGAGAGAATGGCTGAGGAAGATGGGGCGGGGCTGGAGGTGTGAGCTGGGAGATCAGTTTATTTTCTTGGGGTCCTTTCTTCCCAATCCACTTACAGAGGGAGGGGACAGATAGCAGTGATTTGCCCTTCAAATGATGGTTTCTCATTTGAAAACCGGAAATGGCTGAAAGATTTAGTACTAGCTAAGTTTTAGTACTGGATGTTCCTTCACAACCCAGGGAGAAAAGGGCCAACATGAAGAAAGCTAAGGAGAGAGAGTAACTTTTTCTTTCCAACTCTCAAGTCTCAATAGCTTTATATCAAACGTATTTCAGTCCCTTTGGCACCACCACCCCTCCCCCAAATTCTTTACCCAGTAGATCACTCACTGCCAAGCACTGCCGGAGGACACAGGACTGCTTCATCCGGCCAGGCCCTCCGAACTTCTTCATGTCCCTGCAGTAGTGGCACACGCCACATTCTCCCTGCACACAGGCTTTGCACTTCCGGCACCGCACTCGCCTCCGCCGGGCTCCGGACACGATGGGGGAGGCCGCGGCTGGCCGCACAGGGGTGAGCCGGGGAGCGGGCTTCATGGTGTGAGGCTTGGTGATGGGGATGGTGGGGACCCGCACCTTTGGCCGGGCGGGGAACTTCAGCTGGAAGAGAAGGCAGTGAGGCCAGATAGATCAGGAGCCTTAGGAACGAGAGAAGTAGATTACATGGGCCGTGGAGAGATCGGCTGCTGCCTGTTTGTAAAAAGTCTTACTAGACCCAAGCAGCGCAGCTGCTTATGTCTATGGCTGCCTTCCTGTGCACTGGCAGAACTGAGAAGTTGCGACAGAGACTGTATGGCCTGCAAAACCTAAAATATTAATCTCTACTACCTACGTATTACCGTATCTGAAAAAGGCCGCCAATTCCGCCCTGGCTGGTTTGGCTCAGTGGACAGTCATCTTACGAAATGAAGGGTCTCAGGTTCAATCCGGCCAAGGGCACAGGCCAGGTTGCGGGCTCGTTCCCCACTGGTGGGGCGTGCAGGAGGCAGCCGGTCAATGATTTCCTTTCATCACTGATGCTTCTCACTTTGTCCCTCTCCCTTCCTCTCTTAAAATCGATAAAAATATAATCTTTTGAAAGAAGGTTGCCAATTCCTTCAGACACATCTCATGCTGTTGAGCTTTCGGTACCAGTCACTTCCTTCTCCTGAATATTATTCCTCAGTATATACTCCCAAAGAAGACAGGGAACTACCAGAGGGGGAGGCAGCTCCTGTTCATTTCTTTATTTTTTTAATATATTTTATTGATTTTGTACAGAGAGGAAGGGAGAGAGATAGCGAGTTAGAAACATCGACGAGAGAGAGTCATCGATCAGCTGCCTCTTGCACACCTCCTACTGGAGATGTGCCCACAACCAAGGTACATGCCTTGACCGGAATCGAACCCGGTCCCTTCAGTCCCCAAGCCGACGCTCTATCCATTGAGCCAAACCGGTTTCGGCAACTCCTGTTCATTTCTGTATCACTCTCAATCCTAGTAGAAAAGCTGTACACAGCAGATGCTCCAATAGCTCAGAAATGACTAAATTATTTTGAGGCAACCCTCTGTGGCCAAGTAGAGGCCAAATGGGACCCTGCCCCTAGGTAGGAGGAGACAGTTCTTTATAGACATCTTTCAGCTCCCCATCTTTATATTCTACCGAACACTCCCACAGCGTGATGGCCCTGCAATGTCAGCTTTGGGAACACCAAAGAAGGGCCAATCAGAATGCTCTCACTTTTATGTTATAACTTTGACAAAGGACGATGTGGGGAAAAATTATTCAGGGCCTAACAGAAGAGTCATCAAAATTCACAACTGACAATTTATTAGCTAATGGGTAATTCCTATCTTCTCTTTTCAATTTGATAGTGAAAAGTTCAAATTAAAGGAAACTTGAGAATGTGGTCTCAATTCAACATAGAAACACCCTGGCCTTTTAAATATATATGTAATTATTTTAACCAGTTTTAAGTCATTCTGTGAAAATAATTATGTCACTGGGCCAGAGGATAGGAACTGGCCCCTTCTGGTGAACAAATGCACACCTTGGCATCCGAACTTGGAGACAGGACTCCTACCCCGTTTCCCCGAAAATAAGACAGTGTCTTGCATTAATTTTTTCTCCCAAAGTTGCGCTAGGTCTTATTTTCAGGGGATGTCTTATCTTTCCATGCGCTAGGTCTTATTTTCGGAGGAAACACGGTAGTTGGATAGTTTTGTTAAGAGCGTCACCTCCAAAGACAGCCAACTGCCCTGACCTAAGAGCCAGAACGAACTGAGGAATGATTTCCAGTCCCTTTATATCCATGCACCAAATGCTTCTAGTTGTCCGTTTCCTCCAGAATAATAACGGAAGGCCAAGAAGAACGGTTTCTCACCTTATCCCTTTTCGGCCACTGCACTATGGGGACTCCAGTGAGGGCTAACTTGGGATCGCTGTTGGCAAGCTCCTCCAGCAGAACCTAAGGGGAGGACAGAAGAAAAGAGGGTGAACAAAGCCGTCCCTCCTCAGCCTCAGTCCCATGAGCACCCAGGCAGGGGAAGGCCGAGGAATCAGCTGCCTCTGTTTTCACTTCATTACTGAAACGGAAGAGAAAACTTAAACTGGTACAACACTGTCAAACCCGTGTCTTTGCTCCCAGCCTGGTTCTTGTGTATGCACTACACTGCTGACACTTTCACTGAAGCAGCTAGCTACCCTGGTGACAAGTGTGACTTGTCCCATTAGTTCTACAGATGACAATAAAACTTTGCTTCACCCTTTTACTTTTTCATACCAGTTAATGAGTACTGCCAGATAGTAAGTACTGACTTCAATTTGCAGATGTCAGCAAAATGGTAAATATATACATATATACATATATATATATTTATATATATGCTAATACTGAATTAATAATCTGGACAGCAGAGTCTTCATGTCTACCTGTCTACCTCAACCAAGGGCTCTGTTCTTCTAAGGCTGATTACAGAAATCTCAGCCTTAAATCTCTCTCTCTCTCTTACACACACACACACACACACACATATGCGCGGTCAATTATTGCCTTTATTCCTATAAATAGGGCAGGAACAATCTTAGGAACAATAGTGCTCTCATGGCTTTAACCGATCTAGTTTGAATGACTTAGCAATAATACCACAGTAAGAAACTGCCACTTAAGTGAATCACAGTGGTTGAGTGTTATTTTGAAACCTTTAAAGTTTTATAGACAGAAAGTTCTGAATACCAAACCTAGCAGGATGAAATCCCTCTGACCTCATGAGTCTTAAAGGAATGACACCGTCAAATACACACAAATCCAGAAGACAAGTGACATGATTCCTTGGTGAATGTAGGATATTAACTGTTCAGAGAAAACTAAACTTTGATCCTGGACAGGTCAGTATGCTTGGTCACTTTTCCTAATCACTCTCATAACCTGAGGGCTCTCTGCCTAGAGACCAAACTTTCTGAGACAGGAGGCATCGCCTTCCCAGCATTTTCCTCCTGAACCCGAGGATCACGTTCCAAACCCAGAGAAGGGGACTCAGAGAGACCCTTCAACTCACACCCAGGAAGCTTCTCTCTGAAGATCCCCTTTGCCAAGCCTCCAGATGCCTCTCCCCCTCCCCCAAACGGATTTCATTTCCAGCCGTTTATTTACTCGGAGTTGCTATGACACCCTATCCTGGAGCCTCCTGTTAGTACCACACTGCGTGGGGTGCAGAGGAGGGTGCGGTGCCTCCTGGGACATGACTCTGGTGTGGGCTCTAATCTCCCTGGGGTGGAAAACTCAGGTCCATTCAGAATGTGAGCTTGAGAGTGCACAGCTCCCCTCCCCCGCCTCGCACTGCCGAGCAGGACTCTGCCCATTTCCTCTCCCAGCGCGCTCAGGGCTGTCCACAAACAGGGACTTTCCACTCTCGGCCCAACAGCCGGCACAGAGAGCCGCAACTGCCGGACTGCGAGCGAGGGAAGGAGCCGAACTGCACCAGAAGCAGCTGTGCCCCCAGCTGGGTGTCTGTGGGGACGGGCGGGAGGAGGTGGAGGAGGGGGCTTTAGCAGAGACTCGGTTACTGGGTCTGTGTGGGTGCGGGGGGAAAGGGGATCGCCTTCCAAGCCTTATTCTGCTGGGGCCGCACAACCAAGCACCCCGTTTGCACGGAGAAGACAGACTCCAGCTGCGGGAGCCGTATAAGGCAGCCACAGCCTTCACGGAGGGGGTTTGGGACGGGGAGCGGGGGCGGCATGCAGAAGGCTAACGCCTATCTAGCCTGGTTTAATGAGAACATTCAAACAGCCTACACCCCACCCGGCACAGGAAGGGGAGGGGAGCAGCGGCGGCTGGGCGGAGGAGGGGAATGGATTCCCAAAAGCAGGGCGACCCAATTCAGCAGCACATCCCACAAGCGAGGGACAGAGAGGGGCCGGCATTGTCCCGGCCTCCGCCGGCCTCCACACCCGACCAGGAAGGGCTCCCGCCGCTGACCTTGCCTGAAGTTCCCAGCGGCTTTGTTTTGTTTCCCGTATGGGAAGTTGTGCGGCAGGAGTTGGGTTTTCTGCCTCTCGGAAGACCCGCCTGAGCGGAGAATTCGGAGAGCTGCCGGGCGCACAGGCAGGCGGCCCCAGGGAGGGGCGGCTCGGAGCTCCTTCCAGGGACCTTCAGCGCAGCGCGCTTCCTCTGCCGCGAACAATGCTGCTGCGTCACCCACATGCAGCTCCCAGAAATGCTTTGCAACGGAAGATGGCAGGGGGGCCGGCGGCCTGCTGCAGAGCCGGGGGGAGGTGCTCTCCAGCCTCTCCGCCCGCATTGGAGGAGCCGCGGGCCGGGCCGGGCCAGCACCCGCCCCCCTGCAATAGGAGCCCGGTGGCCCAGGGCGCTGGCCGACTCCGGCGGCGCCAGCCAGGGAGGGAAAGCTCCCCGCTGGCAGCTGGCCCCGCAGTATCAGCCCACACCCTCCCCGCAGGGTCACCTCCCCGCGGCGAGGCCTCTCAGGCCCGCACACTTCCTGGCTGCCCCAAGTTCCGCCTCGCGGGCGGAAGCTGAGCTCCGCTCCTGCTCTCCGCTTACATGACTTGCTTCCACTGCCCTCACTGCTGCTCTCCCAGCCCGGAATACAGAACCGCACCCAGGTTTCCAGGACCACCTTCAGGAGCGATACATTCCAACGGACACAGAGATGTTCCAAACGATGTCTCTAACCCCGCCGTCTCCGGCAGCTGCCGGCCTCGGCTGTGGCTGGGAGCCACCAGGTAAGAGTCTTCTGCCCCAGTCAGATTATCTGAGGTGTGACCTGAGATCAGGGAGGCAGCAAATGTGTACTTGCCAGTCTCCTGGGGCCTTAACTTCTGCTTATTCTGCCTCCGATCGTCCACCTGCAGGGCCCAATGTAGAGTTTGTCCTGACAGAGCAGCGCGCACCCCCCCTACCCTGGATGCTACTGTGACCGCCACTGGAGGGATCGCGTCACCCACTCTCCGCACCAATCAGAAAGGCCGAAGCTCTGAACAAGCAGTCACTCAGGCGACAGAGGATCATATTTTGGGTGGAGATTTATGTAATTTTTAAATTTTTAAATGTAATCTTTAGACTCTCAGGAATATAACCTGCGTTTTCTGAAAGTTACAGAAGCCGCACTGAAATAAACATTCCAGGCTACTCAGACCCTAGCTCTCACACTGGCAATTCTTCCCCTCAGCATGGTTGTTTCCGTGAGTTTCTAGTATCTTTCAGGGGCTGCATACTTTAATTTGTACAGTAGCCTGCCAAGAAAGGAGGGACGTTCCTGTTCTTTGGTGGAGCTCTTCCTGGAAATATTTATATGGCCATTCTATCCTAAATCTCTTCTTTGCACTTATTCTTGAGACTCAAAGACTCAATCAACCTATTCTATTATGTGTGAAAAACTTTCCTTATGTGACATCCCTCTAACCAACTGAGCTATCTGGCCAGAGCAGAAAATGCTTATTTTGATCTTAGGGCTATCTAACTTAGAGGGATGATAAAATACAAATACTTAAGAGAAACATGTTACTCTGAAACAAAATACAAGTTCAAGTTGTAACAAGTATAAATTCTTGGAAGTCACAGAAAAGAACAAAAACAGACAGGGCACTAGGAAACACTCCAAGCAAGCCTTCAAATCACAAATTAATAGGCCGTCCCCTTCCCCCATTAATTCAGGATAAAAGATAGGCAACAAAGATCAGAATTAGCCCTGACTGGTGTTGCTCAGTGGTTACAGCATCGGCCCATGAATTGGAGGGTCTTGGGTTCGATTGCTGGTCAAGGGTACATATCTGGGTCATGGGTTGTTCTCCGCCCCAGGTTGCACTACATACAGGAGGCAACCAATTGACGTGTCTCTCTCACATCAATGTTTCTCTTTCTCAAATAAAATGAAATTGATCTGTTCATTCAAAAATAAATGTTAAAAAGATCAGAATTATTAAGAATGTGACATTACATAATACAGAAACATAATGGAAATATTTTAAAGACTAAATCTATTTTAACCTACTCTATATACCTTTTTAAAAAACAATTTTAAAATAGATTTTTAGAGAGAAACATTGATGTGAGAATGAAACATTGATTGGATGCATGTCCCCTCCCGGGGATTGAACCTGGAACCCAGAGAATATGCCCTGACCAGGAATCGAACTGGCAACCTTTTGGTGTACAGGACCACACCTGACCAACTAAGCCACACTTGGCTAGGGCTAACCTATATGCCTATAACTGAGTTAAATTTTTTAAAACTTTCTACTCAATAAGAATGCAAATTATTATAAATATATTGTTAGTAAGAATTGCAAATAAAGTTTTATTTATACAGGTTGCTTTCCCCCACTCCTGATTTGGTTTACTGGATTAAAGTCTAATTACACTGGGACCTCTACCATTATTCTCTTTATTAATATCAGATAAAAAAAAAATCTGATCAGTGCTTCTGTATTTATTGGTAACCAAACTCTGGCTTCAATCTCATCACACTCCTGGGATGGAGTCTGGAGTAAATTTTTAGACCATAATTACAAAATAAAACGTTAGAATTTTATTTTATTTTTATTTATTTATTTATTTAAAATATATTTTATTGATTTTTTTTTTACAGAGAGGAAGGGAGAGAGATAGAGAGCCAGAAACGTCGATGAGAGAGAAACATCGACCAGCCGCCTCTTGCACATCCCCTACTGAGGATGTGACCGCAGCCAACGTACATGCCCTTGACCGGAATCGAACCCGGGACCTTTCAGTCCGCAGACCGACGCTCTACCACTGAGCCAAACCGGTTTCGGCAAACGTTAGAATTTTAGATAGAAGCAGCAGTAGCCTATTGAACCACAAAGTAGTTTTCAAATTTATAAATTGAGAGATTTTACAATCCACATAATATTGAAGTAACCAATCTGTATCATCTAGCAGGCAAGTTTATTAACTGGTGAATGAAGAAGACTGACATCTCCTCCCCCAGGACAGAATCCACCCCTGGGCCCTCCCTGTGTGCTCTCAGAGCCCTGTGTCACGCACAGCGCCTGGAACCTAAAATGCACTCACTTCCTTAACCGCTTAAATGCTGTTCCACCGCTGGACTGCCAGCCCCTTGAGGGCTGAGTCCCTGAAATGTTTGCATGTTTATTCCAACACTAAGCATGACTCCTGGCACCGACGAGGCATCGTTCAAAGTAGCAAAATAAATGAATTTCAAAGATTTGTAACATCTATTTTTTTCTGTAATAATACTATTTGTTAAATACTTTACTAACATCATTAATTTTCCTAACAGCCCTGCTGAGGTAGATGTTACTTATAGAGGAAAAACAGGCTTTGCCCCAAAGTCAAATGGTTGCCAAGCTTATCTACTGGTAAATGCTTTAAGAGCAAACAGGAAAACAGAAAAATATTCAACAACACCGAGTTTTTCATTAAACAAGTTAGGCATATGTGTACTTTTGTTCAAGTCCTCACCCAAGAATATTTTCCCACTGGTTTTCAGAGAGTGGGAGAGGGAAGACAGAGAAATGTCGATGAGAGAAAAAGTCCGATTGGTTGCCTTTGCACGCGCCCAGCCAGGGCCAGGAGCCTGCAACCGAGGTAGGTGCCCTGGGCCAGAATCGAACCGGTGACCCTTCGGTCCGCAGGCCGATACTCTATCTACTGAGCAAAACCAACTAGGGCTATATTGATATATTAAAAACTTCTTTTACAGATATTAAGACCTTCTTTATTACCAAACAAGCACAAACAAAACAACAGTCTGATTAAAACTCAGTCCTCCAGCTGCTCCCCCCACCTTGCTGTCAGCAGCTGATGCCCCCCCCCCCCCCCCAATGCACATGCAGACGGCCTCTTTCTTACATTAATGGACTGTACTCACACTCTGCTCCAGGTCCTGCCTCTGGACTCAGCATCTACCCAGGACACAACTTCTCAATTTTAGAAACGAAAGAACTCCATTCTATTTTTAGTCTACTTTTAGGATTCAAGGTTATCCGCTCCCCTTAATCAGAACTTTACACATACTAATTACTTCCCCTTGAATTTTACCATCAAGTCAACACTTTTTAATCGAACCCCTTCCAACTCTATACTCTATGATTCGCTCTTCATCACTGCAGAACTTAACAGTTTGACCCCCTCAAAGCCCTTTTACCACATCACCAAAACTGACTTTTCTTCCAGAGAATATGTTTATGAACATCTCCTCTCACCACTTTCCTCTCCTCTCTTCTGCCAGTTACTTATGGCCCAGCAAAACCAAGAGGCTCCAGCAGAAACAGCCCCCCCGCAGGAAGGGTGAAGGAAGCCCGCTCTGTCCTCCGCTGCGGTGGAGCTTCTGTGCTACCAGCGCTAAGTTCTCCAGCGCTAGAGTCTCTAGTTGTGTAGTTACTCGGCACTTACCCTACCCAATGCTTTCTTTCCTTCAGGTTTTCAAATGATTCAGGCTCCAAACTCACTATTATCTAAAGCTCCGATTAAATAGTCAAACGTAGGAATGATTAATTCATTTGATCTTTTAAAAAAACATTTCATTGATATCAGAGTGAGAGATCTCAATGATGAAAGGAAATCATTGATTGGCTGACTCCTGCACGACCCACACACGAGCTCGAGCCCATAACTTGGGCACTGAATCTGACCTCCTGGCTCATAGGGTGACGCTCAACCACCGTTGCCACGCTGGCTGGCCAATTAATTTGATCTTAAGTGGAAGTGTGTGCAGAGCTGGGATCTGAGGCTGCTGTCTTCTGATTATGATCATGGTATTGAGTAACAAAAGTGTGGAAAAGCCTCGCAGGGGAAATGCAAACACTGTCAGCCTAGGCAGTCATCTTACTAAAGACTCTTCCTCTTGCTCTGCTCTGTGCCATTCCATCTTAGCCAGCAGCGGCAGCCATGTTCTCGATTATGATAAGCATAAGGACGCTCTCTCTGGACCCTTTTATAATGCGAAGAGTCCTCTAAGCTCACCGCCCTTCCAGTATTCTTTTACATTGCTTAATATGTGAGCCAAATCTTTTAAAATTTCCTCTTACCACGCTGCCTCCTCAAACATTCTTATTTTACTGCTTAGGTAAGAGAGTGAGCCTATTTTGATCATGATACTTGACCTTGTACAAATGATTAGCAGCTAACATGGCTTCCTACAACTGGATTCTGGATATCACTATAGGCATCACTTAGGATTGAAAATATATTTTTCTTTTTCATGAATCAGAAATACCCAGGCCAAAAGAATGTTAGTGAGATATAAATTAGGAAATCTTTCTTCTTAGGGTTCTTAAAGACAATTATACAAATCATTAAATTCCCAAAGTCATAATTTTATATTTCCCACATGTATCCATGATGGAATGGCTACATAAAAATATTCTGGCCCTAGCCGAAGCCAGTTTGACTCAGTGGTAAAGCGTTGGTCTGTGGACTGAAAGGTCCCAGGTTCGATTCCAGTCAAGGGCATGTACATTGGTTGCGGGCACATCCCTGGTAGGAGGTGTGCAGGAGGCAGCTGGTCGCTGTTTCTCTCTCATTGACGTTTCTAGCTCTCTATCTCTCTCTCTTCCTCCTCTCTGTAAAAATATCAATAAATTAAAAAAAAAAAAATTCTGGCCCTAGCTGGTTTGGCTCAGTGGATAGTGTTGGCTTGAGGACTAAAGAGTCCTGGGTTCGATTCTGGTCAAGGGCACATACCCAGATTGCAGCTCAATCCCTAGTGGGGAGGGGGGTGCAGGAGGTAGCCGATCAATGATTCTCAACATTAAACCTGGGAACCTTCAGCCAAAACCAGTTTGGCTCAGTGGATAGAGCGTCGGCTTGGGGACTGAAGGGTCCCAGGTTCGATTCCGGTCAAGGGCATGTACCTTGGTTGCGGGCATATCCCCAGTGGGGGGTGTGCAAGAGGCAGCTGATCGATGACTCTTTCTCATCGATGTTTCTAACTCTCTATCTCTCTCCCTTCCTATCTGTACAAAATCAATAAAATATATTAAAAAAAAAATCTGGGACCCTTCAGTCCGCAGGCTGACGCTCTATCCACTGAGCCAAACTGGTTAGAGCATAGCCTCTCTAATTTTTACCTTTTTACTGATGCATAAACAACAAGATATAATGAAAATTCAATCATAAAAAGAAAAAAAGGTTCAGGTCCTATTTCAGTCTTTGAAATTCTTTCCTGAGGTAGCTGCAAACGGTAGGAAGCTCTTTAGTTGGTTAGTGGTAACCAAAGAAAAACCCGAATCAGGAATCAGAGATGGGAAAAAAACCCTACTATCAGATATTTAGCCCATTTATCTCAAGGTGACAAAAGTATTCCCTATAATCCTTCTGAGGCTAAAAATAATCTATGACAGGTTTTAAAAATAATACTTATTACAAATTGTGAGCTAGCTTTCTAATACACATAACCCAACCAAGTTTTGTTTTATAAGGTTTGCTCTGGAAGAGGCAAGTGGCGTCACTCTACCGTGTATTTGTATGCCCTGCAACCAAGACATGGTTCCAGACACTGACTTAAAACTGTTATTTCCAGCTTTTCATTTTTTAGTGTTCTCTTTAATGGCTACCTATGAGAAAATACTTAAAAGAGCTCCCTCCAGTTCAGAAGGCCTAAATCTGGATTCTTTAAAAATAAACTCAATTTTGCCCGGGTAGCATGGTTCAGTGGCTGAGCATCGACCTATGAGTCAGGGCGCATGCACATGGGTTGCGGGCTCAGTCCCCAGTAGAAAGCATGTAGGAGGCAGCAGATCAATGATTCTCTCTTACCATTGATGTTTTTCTCTCTCTCTCCTCCCTTCCTCTCTGAAATCAATAAAAATATCTAAAAAATAAGAACATATTAAAAAAAAACCCTCATTTCTCTGAGACCAACACATGAGGGGTGAGAAAGGCTTTCAAGATTGCTAATACTGGGAGATCTACCTTTTTAAAAAAATATTTATTTTTATTGATTCAGAGAAGGGAGAAAGAGAGATAGAAAAAACATCAATGATGAGAGAGTCATTGACTGGCTGGCTCCTGCACGCCCCTTAAGCCTGCAACGAGGAACATGCCCTTGACTGGAATCGAACCTGGGACCCTCCAATCTGCTGGCCGAGGTTTTATCCACTGAGCCAAACCAACTAGGGCTGGGAGATCTCTTGAAAAAAGAAAGATATATGACATGAAGAAACTTGATATAATAGCTTGCATTATGTTTAAAATAATATATTTTTAGAAGTTGCCCTAATATATTTAAGTCTTATTACTGGATAAATTTGAAACTAAATATGCTAAACCTACTTAATATAACCCAACATAAAATAATTTTTTTCTTAGCTTGGGATAAGAATGATAGACTGGCTACTTTTGTTCTGAAATAGGCCTGTTTATCTGAGGGTAACTTACGTTTAAAAGTAATATTTCTTTTTATTTATTTATATTTTACTGAGTTTTCACAGAGAGAAGGAAGAGGGATAGAGAGTTAGAAATATCGATGAGAGAAACATCGATCAGCTGCCTCCTGCACATTCCCTACTGGGTATGTGCCTGCAATTAAGGTACATGCCCTTGACTGGAATCAAACCTGGGACCCTTGAGTTCACAGGCCGATGCTCTATTCACTGAGCCAAACCAGTTAGGGCTAAAGTAATATTTCTTAATATAAACACTTTCTCAGGCTCTTCTTTAAAGATTTTTAAAAGCAACCTGCAATTTGTGTTTCTACAACAGACATGTCTTTTTAGGAACTGAAATACTATGCATACAAACATATACATAATTTCTGATAAACCAGGAACTCTGCAAAATTTCTCTCTCAGAATCCGGAAATCAGCCGCTCTAGCCAGGTCAGTAGCTGTCATAGAACACGAGAAACTCTTACCTTTACGTCAGCAATCAGAGCGTCTTCATCTTCTATGCCTGTGGGGACACATTTCTTGTGCAGTGGCAGAGACTCCAACTTGTCTACAAGGCAGCGAAGGCCTTCGAGCTCAAAATGGGTCAGATGCACCGGCCTGTCCTTCCGGGGACTACATTGGGGATCCCACACTTGGCCATTGTGCGAGCCCCGGCTAGAGTCAGATGATGAGTCTCCAGACAAGCTTTTCTTCAGACTTGGAAGACTTCGGCAGGCTTTGCCCAGTCCGTCATAATCCAGATTGACCCCATTGCTTACTGGGCTAGTGAGGACAGAACGCCTACTGCTCAGGCGCCGGGGTTCTCGATCCACTGCTTCTTCATCTCCATTTCCAGATTCCAACCCATTTAACTCCAAATCTGTTGGTATGAAAAAAAAAAAAAAAAAATGCAGTAAGAACAAGCCACTTGGCCAATATGGTCAATGAGAGAAACAGGCAGCATAGGCGGGGCCTTCAAGTAATAAATAATGAAGTTGTAACACGTTTAAAATGATCTCTCCTTATTCCAACACCCATATGTCCATTGTTAAAAATCATGGCTATAGGATTTTCAGAAGATTGAGAAGAACCCCGTTTTGTGTGCTAAAAATAAGTTACCTATGAAAATTACTGTAAATTAGTTTCAAGTTCAAACTCAAATTTGGGGTTATGATTTAATTACCTTTTAAAAGTAGCCAGCATGAAGCACATACCAGCATACTTACAAATAGTTTTGTAAACTAAGAATTGAGCCACAAATCCATCTTCTGGGTATCTGCCCCTGAATTCATTCATAAAGACATTTGTACTTCCTATGCTCGCTCACCGCAGCATATTCACCATAGCCAAGACATGGAAACAATCTAAGTGTCCTTAGATGGGTGACTGGATAAAAATGTGGTGCATACAGACTATGAAATCCTACTTAGCCATATATATGTGGGGTATAAAACTGAAAGCAAGCTTAGACACAGACAACAGTATGGTGGTGACCAGAGGAGAGGGGATGGAGGTGAGAGGAAGATGAAGAGTCTAAAGAGGGCTAAATATATGGTGATGGAAGATGATAGACTCTGGGTAGTGGGCACACAATTTAATATACAAGTTATGTATCATAGAAATGTACAATTGTAGCCTATGACTCTATTTAATACCCCAATATACCCCAATATATTTAATAAAATTTTTTTAAGAAGACACGTACCAGACAATTGATTCCTTTCTTGAGGAGTGAAGTAATAATAAACTCAGACAAATGTGATATCCAGAATATTTCATTTTTAGCCTAATAATTCACATCTGGGTAGGAGATCAGCTATGAACCAGCATTCAACTCCAATGACTAAATTTGGTTCTTTCAGGTAGATAAGTAAAAACCAAACCAAACAAAAAAACCCCCGAAAATAAAATAAAAACAAAACTATTGAGCAATAGCCTGCTGAATGTTCCTGGCCATCACCTCAGTCCCGCGAGGTGTCTTGAAAGTTTGTCCAGGCGGGACACTTACCCATGCTGAGGGACTCTTTCTGAAACTCCTTGGTTAGGTGGGAGCGGTTGGTTATGCAGTACACGTAGCGCTCCAACACATACCAACACATCTCATAGTAGAATGGATAGCGAAACTTATTTGGAACCTACAGGAGCAAAATAATGAGAAAAGAAAGCTGATATCAATTTTAAAAGCAAGTAAGATAACTGTATCACTGCAATAATTAATCTAGAAAAAACTGGTTAACCTGAAAACCCAGGCTGGCATTTTCTATCTGACAACTTGGAAAATGTTGATCTTGGGAAACAATCACTAAAGATAAAAGGTTCTTGGAAAGACCATTCAGAACAACCAAAAAACTGACATTATTTAGAACTTCTGACTAGGAAAGCATCAAAAAGAAGTTCTGGGACAGCGAGTCACCATGTGAGACACAGTACACAGAAGTGAGAAACTGGCTGAGGGCTCCTGGAATACAAAGGCCCGCCAAGCATCTTGCCTTTTCTCTAGTTCTATCTCAATAAGAAGGCCATGGAATAAGAACCTAATGGAAAAACAGAACATGAAATTAAGTTATATGTTTTTATTATGTCCTTACATCTATGAAAGTATAAGCAGAGACTCATTCTCTAGCTATATCCAGACTAGGACACAAGACTGAATGCTTTCCCTGCTATCAACTCTCGGCTTGCCGTCATGTACTTCGTAGTTCGCTAAGACGTTGTGTCCACAAATCAAGATTACTATTCCACATGGCCTAATCAGTCACTATCTTCAGTTTTCTTTCCATTTCCCCCCAAAGTGGCATGAAATTATTCCAGCTAAATAATAATAAAAAGAATTGTCCTTTAGATCTACCGAAGCCAAGGAAAAGGCAAATCAATATGTATTGTTATTCAGTGAAGAAGACCAGTGATGGGGACTATCCTAAATATAGTCCGTTGTCTTCCTTCTGGGAGGCCACCGTTCAGAAGATGAAGCAACACAACATTTTAAAGACTGTTCTAAATATGCAATTCCCGAGAATGTTCACAACTCCTTTCCAAAGCTCCATGGCAGGTAGTCTTCCTAGATCCAGGTGAGCTGGGTGGGAGTCCCTTTTCAAAACGCTTCACCAAGAAAGGGTACAACTCAATGGTAGAACATGGGACTGCAAAACCCTTTGCCAGGTCATAGGGCTTTCCCCATCCCCAGGCAGGTGAGGCATGTACTTCCCATTAGTTTTCCTCCACAGAGGATCCAGGCTCTGGGTCTCTTACGTGGCTACAAGAAGAGGTTTCCTAATCTCTTAATTAAAAGTAAAATTAATTTACTTCTCAGTAGATAGGGGGATGAACCACAAAAATTAAGAAATAGATGGTCTCCCCAAATTAAAGCCATTTAGGACTCTTCAGAACTGAGTAATATATATATTTTTTAACATATCAAGATTTTATTGGCATATAATAAAACAAAATACAACGCTCTAGAACTGAATCACTTGACCCTTTCTCTTCTTATCTCCTCCCAGTTCAAAATGCTTGCATCTCTTAAAAGCCAGCATTCTCTTAGATCTGCAGTTAGGCTCAACGCATTCAAGCCTCAGCACAATCTTCTTTGTAGCTTTAGCCTTTTATTCGGAAAACAGGCTTAGTCTGCCCCCCATAGCCACTCTGCTTCCTGTCCTAACGCCGCTTTCCCCGCGCACAGAGGATCCTGGCCCTTCTTGGGCTGTGTTACTGTGTGGGGTTGATGCTGGCCCCACTTCTCACAGAAAGTTCGGCGGGTTTTAGGAACGTTCACCATGTTTGCGAGCGCTATCAGCAGTGAAAAGCCAGAACTGAGTAATATTGATAAGAAGAAAAAAAAAGAAAATATATAATAGGACATTAAACTTTTTATTTTTTACTTGAACTCAGCAGACTATATTCGTCAGAGTCAGGATATCACATACCCATCACCCTGTCTTGCTACATTTTACCTATCCCGCCAGACACCGGAGAGCATATCAATTTGGGTTCAAATTTTTTGCAAAAAATTTTTAAGTTCCTCATTACAAAATTATTGATCCTTTAAACACTATCAGGAGAATAATTACCAACACGTAAGTTTCTATAGTATATTTCTACACTGGCATGGCAAAAGTAACCAAAGCACTGCCTTAAATTTATATTTCTTTCATAAAACATCCTTTTATATTCTCCTTTAAATTTTGTAAGTTTATAGATTAATAATATAGTAAATATATACCAGGTTGATATTTAGCACAAAAAAGATTGATGTAGAAAGCAATTAAAAACAAAACAAAGCACTGCTTCATTTTATAGAAGCAGAAGGGTTCCTTGTTTGAAATAACAGAGTTAAGTCATACTTAAGAAAATGGAATAATATATTAACTCTTAGAGGCCCGGTGCATGAATTTGTGCCAGGGGCTCAGCCCTCACAGCCCCAGCTTCGTCTGGAAGGTCATCCAGATGGTCATTCTGCTGTTTGATCTAATTAGCCTATAGCTCTTTATTATACAGGATTCTCACAACTTCAAACTTATTAAATCCTTACTATCTTTTGTAGTTTCATTATGCTTAATAAAAAAGCAGAAGTTCACCTTTAGAAAATTCATTTAAAAAGCACCATATCCTTTTAATTCTCCTAATAGGGCAATCTCTGTAACTCCAACAGTACCAACCTTGTGTACAAGATAACTAGAGGCCCAGTGCATGGAAACTCATGCACTGGAGGGGTCCCTCAGCCTGGCCTCTCACAGTGCAGGAGCCCTGAGGGGCAGGAGGAGACCCGGCAATCAGGGGAAGGCAATGCTCCCATCACACCTCTGCTGCTGCCACTGCCGGCAGTGTGAGCCTTGGCTGGCCCTGGTTACCTGAGCCTCAGGTGGCCCTGGGCGACTGAGCAGCCGCCATCTGAGGCTTGGCTGTATTGCATGCCTGCTGCCCCAGTGGGGCTGAGGGGACCTAGTGCTTCTATCTCGTGGCTATGGGCACCGCCATCTTTGAAGGCGTGGAAGTCAATTAGCATATTCCCTCCATATTGGCTATGGGCACTGCCACATTTGTGAGGGCATGACAGTAAATTAGCATATTCCCTCCTTTAAAAAATATTTTATTGATTTTTTACAGAGAGGAAAGGAGAGGGATAGAGAGTTAGAAACATCAATGAGAGAAAATCATCGATCAGCTGCCTCTTGCACACCTCTGATTGGGGATGTGTCCACTACCCAGGTACATGCCCTTGACTGGAATCGAACCCAGGACCTTTCAGTCCGCAGACTGACGCTCTACCCACTAAGCCAAACTGGTTTTGGCGCATATTCCCTCTTTATTAGATAGGTTAAGTAGTTCATAACCAAAATAAATGTTTCAAAATAGACACCAAAATAGACACCAAAACTGACCATGTTCACAGTAAACAGGCCAATGCCTATTCCTTCTAAAAGGTGTAAATCCTTTACTAACTGCTATTTTTTAATTTTTAAAACTTTCAAGTCTGCCTTGGCTCATTTGGCTCAGAAGATAGAGCGTCTGCCTGGGGACTGACGGGTCCCGGGTTCGATTCTGGTCAAGGACACATGCCTGGGTTGCAGGCTCCTCCCCAGCAGGGAGCATGCAGGAAGCAGCCAATCAATGATTCTCTCTCATCATTGATGTTTCTCTGCTAATCCCTATTCATATATGCTGGTATTTGCTGAACTACCTCAGAGCAAGTTATGAACATCACGTGCCCTAACTATCTGTACTCTAATTGCTGTTTAATGTCAATATCATTTATACTTTAATCATATTCAGATATAATCGAGCCCTTACCAACTAGTGTTTGCTAAAGAATTGAGCCTATTTACCCCTAAGGCATGGGTCAGCCAACAAATAGCAGCTAATGGACTTGGTCAGCTATCTGTTTTATAAGGCTGTGAGCTAAGAGTGTTTTTCACATTTAAAAAATATAAATATTTTACTGATTTTTTACAGAGAGGAAGGGAGAGGGATAGTTAGAAACATCAACGAGAGAGAAACATCCATCAGTTGCCACCCGCACATCCTCCACTGGGAATGTACCTGCAACCAAGATACATGCCTTTAACCAGAATTGAACCTAGGACCCTTGAGTCCGCAGGCTGACGGTCTATCCACTGAGCCAAATCAGTTTTGGCTTTCATATTTTTATTTATTTATTTATTTATTTAATTGATTTTTTACAGAGGAAGAGAGAGGGATAGAGAGTTAGAAACATCGATGAGAGAGAATCATTGATCAGCTCCCCCCTGCAACCCCCTACTAGGGATGTGCCCGCAACTAAGGTATATGCCCTTGACCGGAATTGAACCTGGGACCTTTTAGTCTGCAGGCCAATGCTCTATCCACTGAGCCAAACCGGTTTCAGCTTTCATATATATATATATATATATATATATATATATATATATATATATATATATATATATATATATATATATTTTTTTTTTTTTAAATATATTTTAACCAGTTTTGGCTGCTTTCATATTTTTAAATGGTTGAAATAATACCCTAAAAGAGCATTTGTGACACAGGAAAATTATGTGAAATTCAAATTTGTGTCCATAAGTAAAACTTTATTTTATTTAAGCCATGTTCATTCTTTTAAAATTCATTCTACAAGGCAGAGTTAGACAATGGATATTGCATGGCCCACAAAGCCTAACATTTCTACTATCTGGTCCTTTACAAAAAAGGTTAAATCCTGCCTTAAAGTACCTCCTGCATATAATGAACTTTTTCCCTACACATCTAGAATAAAATCAGCTCTGCACCATCCTAAGGAAAACAGAAAACAAGACACACAAATCATTTTCTACAATACTGAATTCCCTCATAGGTTTCTCTCAGTTGAGAAAGGCAGTATACACGTTTCTATATTAAACTACAATAGTTTGAGTGTTAATAAAGAAAGATACATAAATTTAAAGTTGTGGATCTTGATTTGATAAATCCCATTAAACAAATTATTCTAAGAGCATAAAAAAGAAAAACATGGCTCAAGAGACTATCCAATGTCTACCTCTAGCCCCATAAAAATCTGAGATACCAAGAATCTCCAGGAATTGGAGTCCCCCAAATCAAGCATGCAGATCTTGTTAAAACTTTCCTTTCAGTGTCCCCAAAATGTGAACACTGCATTTTAGTTCAAAGAAAAATTAAAGTTCTCAAATAAACTATCAATGAATCTCTTATATCTATCTATCTAACTGGAGTAATCCTGTTCACATCAACTGTTATACAGAATTACTTACCCGTGTCCGATCTTCAATGTTGTATATTTTTAACTGCATGGGGATATTGAAACTGTGCAAAAAATTGCCTCCAAACACTAACGTGTCTGTAGGAGTGTACACAGCATGAATCCAGCCTAGCAGAAAGGAAACGAAGGGCAGCAGCTGTAAGCACACATTATACAATGGGCTCTCTCAGATTCCTATACCACACTTTTTTTTCAGTCTCTTAGTGATTGGTCAGGTTATTTAATCTCTTGCAGTTTCACTATCCTCGATAAAACATGAATTCTATTTTACATGCTTGTTGGTGAGCATTAAATGAGAAAAATGAATGTAAAGTGTTTCGCATATAATTTATTTTAAAGTCTTGTCGAAACAAGGCCATCAAAAATTTTGGTTGCCTCCCCCCAAAATAATTGGAGAGAGAGATATAACAAACTTTTAATAAATGCTGCTTCTATTTATTGGAGTACTTACTATGATCGGGCTCAGTACAAGAGTTTACATGTATTCTCATTGACTCCTCACAACAAAATAAAACAGATTTAAATACTTGACAAAAGTGGTTTAGCAGGTAAATGCACAGAATTCTAATACGTATCTGTGATACATATCTCCTAAAAGCTATGCTCTGAGAGTTATTTAGGAATTAATGACCTGATAAAAAGTATCGCTGATTCAGCACCTTCTCTAGCCTTTCACAGCCATCCTCTAGCGGAGTAGGTAGTTCTAAACCAAGGGTTGTGCATCACCTGCAGAATTGGTTTTATCTAGAGATTCTGAATTTCTAGGGCTAATGTGGGGCCCAAACATATAGATCTGAAAAGCATCCACATATATACCTTTAGTGGAAAATCACTGCCTTTAAAAAAACACAAAACTCAGCACCCACTCCGTAACAACAGGAAAGGACACTGATGTTTCCGCCTACCCCAGCATCATAATCATTGTGGGCAGTAATGCATCAATTCTTTGACTTAAGAAAAAACAGTGGCCAGAGTAGATGATCCACGGTTCCTGTCCTGCTTACCGGAGGGAATGACGAAGGTATAGCCCTGCTTGAGCTCAATGCGCTGGCAATCTGACACCCGGTCACCCAGAAAGATGTCTCCCTGTTTCCCTGACAGCAGCCAATTCTCGTACAGCTCCAGGTTGTGGGCTGTAGGGGGGATGAGCCAGAAGACCTGTGAGTTAAAAAACTTCAGTCTGTTAACAGCCATTGACATGACCCAGCCACCCCCCTCAACTGATAAATAGGTGCCAAGTTAAGACCACCGTGTAGAAGAAAGGCGAGTAATTCTCCCAGCCACCAGAGCTTGATCCCTGGGAATTCCAAGGGCCCCAAAAAGTACATATTGTTCATCCTCCACTTGATCAAACAGCATTAGTTTCCCTGAGATTTGAATGTAGAACCAAGAACCTACCTAAGACTCAGAAGGAACTGGGGCATTGGCATTAACTAGGCAGCCCCTACTTGCCCCTAGCTGTCTGGTCTCTGGCTTTATTGTTAGGCACAAAATCTTTAAGAGATTGGTCTGGGTTGCTTTGTTCCAAGGTAGCAACCAAGACCAAAAGAATGAAACTTAAGATACCGCTTAAGTGGTTCCAAAGTAAGTAAAATGATTTTGGATTTAGAGGTACAACTGTTCTAGATTAGGACCTCACATTTTAGAAGGTGTAAAACTTTGTTTTTATTCCAGTTTTACTCTTCTCTCACAAATGCATTCAATTCTAAGTGGGAAAAGGGTAACAATAAGAGTAGAACTCTATAAGCCCCTATGTTCTAGATTTCCATCCTCACACCATTCAGAAACACTCCAACAGGCTGAAATATAGTTCTTTATAAATGAGAGTAATCTTTCAAAATCTATTTATAACTTCAGAATCGTCTTAAAGGTATCATTTGGTCCCATTTACACCAATGGCTCCAAATAGGGAAAGGTAATTTGGATCTTAATTTGCTGATTTCATTGGGAATCTATCCAAAATTTGTGTGTCCTTCTATCTTATTATGCTCCCACATAGAGAAATTATCTTGTCCTCTTAAAACCGCTTCCTTGCCTCCATGTGGAGAATTCTACTTTGGGGATCTGTCCATAGGACTGTTGAGGTTCACGAAGTGCTATGCAAATATTGGCATGATCATAGTGGCCTACATGAATGCTAATTCCTACTGAATTCTAGCCAAGAAGGTCAACTAAATAGACAATTCTCTCTAGATATGAGTGGGACAATCTCCTAATATTAATAGATTCATCTGTATGTATATTAAGCAAGTATGAACTAGAGCAAAGTCATACAACCAGTGTCAGGTCCCAACCTCCATCACAACTACAGCCGTACCTTTCCCCCTTGATGGATGTGATACCAGACAGAGGTACCACCAAAGTCGACATGGAAGTCAGTATAGCAGCCTCGAACACTCATTAGACAGTACCTGGCCCAACAAAAGCAGCAGTTAGTGCCCTGATGAGAGAAATAGGGCCCACCCCACTCAATGCCGTATGCCCCTGTGCGCTCCCTGTCATCGAATCCACTCCCAGTCAGAGAGAGGCATGCAATTGCAAGTCATCTCATTACCAGGGTAATTTTTTTCTTTATGTGATCATGGGCTGTACTCCGCTTACATACACTCTTCCCTTTGGGACTGTAAAGGCTACGCTAAAGAATTCATGTTTTTGATCATTTAGGAAACGGAGAATGGCTCTTTAAGGAGGAACCGGTCCTTGCCATCACCTTGGTCTCCCCTAGCACACTGAGGAAGATGCAGGTAAGCACTTACTTCTGCACTTTAGGGTACTGCATCTCCAAGATGGCGTTTGTTGATTCAGTCTGACTTTCCTTCAAATGCCTTGGCCACATGTTGTCTACCCAGTCAATGAAATCCACCTTTAAAAAGGAAAGAAAACATTTAGGCTTCAAAGGTAGGGTCCGGATTAAAGAGAATTTTAAAATCAAGAAAAACAGAATTTTTGCCTGGCCAGTGTGGCTCAGTGGTTGAACAGTGACCTATGAACCAAGAGGTTGATGTTTGATTCCCAGTCAGGGCACATGCCTGGGTTGTGGCTCAATCCCCGGTACAGAGCGTGTAGGAGACAGCCGGTTGATGATTCTGTCTCATCACTGGTGTTTCTCTTTCTCCCTCTCCCTTACTCTCTCTGAAATCAATAAAAACGTATTTTTTTTTTAAAAGAAAAATAGAATTTCTCAAAATACTCACTGAAAGACTGACTGTAAGTGAACTAAAACATACTGTTGCTGAATCTTAGTATCGGTGGGCAAACATTCTAGAAATTATTATTTAATGAGAATAAAGACTAATGGTTCTATCAACATGATCATAAAGACAGCACTAATCAAAGTGAAGTTATTAAATAACAGTAGTATCCAGCCAAGCCCTCTCTTCTGTGTAATCAACTCTATTTTTAAAAAATACAATTAGAGGCACTCCCTGGAAGGTACCTAAAAACTAATAGAAAGCTATAATACTATTAGAGCAACTAAGATATCAATTGTTAAAAATCGTATGTGACGAGTGTTGACCTAGGAACCAGGAATCACCGTTTGATTCTAGGTCAGGGCCCATACTGAGTTGTGGAGTGAATTCTTAGTAGAGGGCGTGCAGGAGGCAGACGATCAAGGATTCTCATCATTGATGTTTCTATCTCTCTCTTCCTCTCCCTTCCTCTCTGAAATCCATAAAAACATTCTCTAATACACCCAGACACACACACATATATATATGGAGAGAGGGGGAGGGTACACGAATTCATGCATGGGGGGTACATTTTATTGTATGTCAATTGTACCTCAATAAAGTTGACTTCTTAAAAAAGCATTATTGAGATATATTAGAAAAGACCTAAATAAATGGAGGGGTATACTGTCCGCAAGAAAACCTCTAAAAGAGGAAATAAATAAATAGTAGTCCAGTAGAATAAGTATAATATGTTACTGGTTCTATAGCACGGTCATAGAAAGCTCGCTGGATTTTAGGACCTTGGTAATAGCTCACTCAATCTTTCTGGCCATGTGTTAGGTACCTTAAAGATTCTTGTGCATTGTCCTTTGTCCTCTAGAAAATTTCCTACTTCTTAGCCCTTCCACTGATTCTATTCCTCCATTTATAATGGCACAATATTTTTCTAATTTTTGTAAAATGTTTTTTTATCAGCATTTTAAAATCATTAAAACTAAGGACATAGTGAATCAATTAAGGATGTTACAAAGAAGGCTTCATGTGTAACACATTTCTAAATTTAAAAAATGAAAAAGTATGATCCAGATCAAATTTTAATTTTACAAGTACAACCATATTTTTTTAAAATGAAATTCTAAAAATATTGCCGGGACCGGTTTGGCTCAATGGATAAAGTGTTGGCTTGGGGACTGAAAGGTCCCAGGTTCGATTCCAGTCAAGGGCATGTACCTTGGTTGCGGGCACATCCCCGGTGAGGGGTGTGCAAGAGGCAGCTGATCGATGACTCTCTCTCATCGATGTTTCCAACTCTCTATCTCTCTCCCTTCCTCTCTGTACAAAAAAATCAATAAAATATATTTTTAAAAAATTCTAAAAATATTTAGAAATAAATTTATAAAAATAGGTTATTGTAATTATTACATCCCTCACTTAATTGAACTCTTTATTTATTAAGTAGACCAGGTATGACTAATAAGAAAGCTAAATGTACCTATATTTCCTGTCTTCCTATATTACTTGACATAACAAATAATAATTACTATTAAAAGAACTTAGTGGGAGGGATGTTTTCTTAATGATAGGTTCTGTATTTAATTATAAGCATCTCCAGTTATATGAAGCAATGACTAAAAATCATCTTTTCAGATAATAGTGAAATACTGTGAAATTTTCCCATTGGTCTATACATACTTATCTATGTGTTAATAGAACAATGTAACTTAGTAGTAAGCTATATATACATACATATACAAAATGATGCTATAAGCAATTATAGTATCTCAGCTTTGAAAGTCAAAGGGATAAAACACAGAGACCTTGACTTTAAACAAATAATTAGTATATCCCAAGTTCTGTTGTTCCACGTGTAATATTTGACAAAACTGAGTTCTGAGTCAGGAATTAAATGAATAAAATTTGTTTGAAAATGACTAGGTGTATTTCAAAAGTGAAAGCAATCCCCATCAGAAAAAAAAGTTTCCTCAATGTCCTATACACAGCCCCTACTTTGCCAAGAAATGGGCAAAATCTACATCTATCCTCAGGAGAGCTGCGGATCGAAGACTATCTTTCCCTAAGTATGGGGTATTAATTTATTGCTAATAGTCATCCAGTAGAATCTACTAAAAAATAATTTCATAAAACAATCACCTAGCTCTAAACCAATTTTCTCCCAAGTTTCTCAGCAAACAAACCTGCAGGACAGAAATTTATAAGGCAAACTTTCTACTGACAGTACTTACAAGAGTGAATTTTAAGATTATTCTTTATTATGTACAAAGGCCAATGGTCCTAAATTAAGTATATTGGTGATGTAAATCAGAATGGCCCTTCCCTATATAAAATAAAATTATTTTAGAAAATGATGGACCATCTAAAATGCAAGTTATCCTTATCAAAGTGTCTTGTTCCTCTTCATCTTCATCTTGGTATATACAAAAAGTAATCAATTCTCCTAGTAAATATACAACTCCCTTGGTGACAGACAATGTGGAAAAATGGTCAGACTAACCGTGGAGGGCCTCTGCACCATGTTCTCCAGCCTGGTGTGGCTAAACTCTAGGCTGATGACATTATAGAGTTTTTCTCGCTCCTCCTCTGGGGTCTCATAGTAGCGTGTCCACTGGGCCATCGTCATTTCAATGCCTTTCTGCGTGTTCACATCCATGACATCCACCATGCGACGACTCCCTGCCATGAAAGACGCACTGATTATCTCTACTGAGCCACTGATACCCATAAATATATTAAGACTATAAAATACAAGTGAAAGGAAACAAACTACCCTTTCTTATTTAAGGTATTCAATAACAAAGAGCTGGTTGTGACTTGAGATAATTAACAGAAAATCAAATCACAGAAAATGGGAAAGACAATGGGTAATATTAAAAATAACAGTCACTCCCTAGGTCATCTTTATTATATCATTATTAGCAATAAACATTAAAAAATGGTAAGAAAGTGATAAGAAATCCAAAAGGAGACTAGTGATTGAATGAGTCCTTTTATTTGTACAGATTATACATTTAGATAAGTCTATGATGAGATCCTGAAGTTTATGTTTTTAACCAATACCAGTACCACAGGGGATTCTGATCCAGGTCTTTTGTGGCCCAAACCCTTAAGAATGCTTGGCCCAAAGAGAAAAGCTTGGTGGCCCGTTAACTTAAAGATCTAAGGAACTGGGTCCATTAGGAAAAGAGTGATGGACTGATAAGTACTCAAGTAGGTCTTTCTGATGCCTCCTCGGAGAGCCCTACTTTGAAAAGAATCTAACAGAAAAGCATTTTACTTAACAGGTTTACTGAGCACCTACATACTCCAGAGAATATGCTAGGTACTAGGAAATAAATACAGATAATTGAAATCTAATGCAGAACCAGTGAGGGAGTAAAAGATACAGGGAATGAGAGAACTTTCCTCTACCTGGGCTATCTGATTTTTTCACCTCAGATAAACAGAAGTTATCCAGCTGTTTAAAAACGGCCCTCAAGTGGTCAAGAGATAGCACTGCACTATTTAATTTCCAAAGCAAACAGTTTCAGGGCAGCTTCAGCGTAGAAGAAATTTAGTGGTAGAAGAAAAGCATCAAAAAACTTTTGTTTCATGTCCTGTTAAAAACCTTTCTAAAAGATTTTAATATCCCTTACGGCCTTATCATGTATAGGAGAGTGACCATTTCTGAATTCAGTACTGTCTCACTGAACAGCAATGGTCTGCAGAAAATTGACCTGAACTTTTATTGACCATAGGAAGTATTTATTCTTCTTTAACTAGATTGTTCCAATTTGCTTTCTTTTTCTAATTTTGAATGCAATAAAACATAAATCAGATTAAAGACTTAGGCACTGATGAGGACCTAATTAACAAATGTAGCATTGGTAAAAATTTCCTGGAAATTTCTCTACTGCTTTTAGGGGGGATAAAGATAATCAAATATGAATGAAGCTTCATTCATGGCTCATAGATATAAAATTTCACTATCCAGGGGAGGTTTCCCTGGAAGGCAGGGTCTTCTGGAGAGAAAGGGATGGGGAGTGGAGAGAAATTCAGAGATAAGAATGGCAGGTAGGAAAGAAGGAGCGGATTCAAATAATACTTCAAATGAGTGCTAAACAAAGCAACTTTGTAGCTCCCTCTGAGAAAATTCTCACTTGCTGAATTAGTTTCTAATCAATAAACTATCCAATATATACTTCAATCCAATATATACTTCAATGCTCCTAAACCTTCTCCAATCTCAGAGATGTAAGACTCAGTCCTAAGTATAAATCTCCGCCTCAGCCACAGAGGCCACATGCGTAATACTCACCCACACACATTTTGACATCATTCACAGTGAAGTCTGGGTCTGGCATCCTATGAAACAAACACCAATGAGCACAACTTAAATAGGAAGTATAACTTCTTTCCTCAGTGTTAGTTTTTTTTCTTTCTTTTTAACACTCTAACTTTAAGAAAAATATGTTTTTTTTATTTCAGAGAGGAAGAAAGAGGAAGAGGGATAGAAACATCAGTGATGAGATTCAGTGATTGGCTGCCTCCTGCACACTCCCTACTGGGGGTGGAGCCCCGACCCGGGCATGTGCCTTGACCAGGAATCATAGACCTTGATTTTCTGGTTCATAGATCGATGCTCAAAGAGCCATGCCAGTTGGGCTATCTTTTTTATTTGTTTAAGATTTTTTTTTATGTGGAGGAGAGATATGCATGCCCAAGGCCGATATGAATTTATTTTTAACATTTTTTAAATTGGTGTTTGTTTTTTTTTCACAGGGGGGGGGGGGGGGGGGAGAGAAACACTGATATGAGAATGAAACATCCATTGGCTGCCTCTTGTATGCATCCTACCAGGGATCAAGCCCACAACCTGGGCACGTGCCCTGACAAACCACCTTTTGGTGCATAAGATGATGCCCAACCAACTTAGCCACACTGGCTAGGGCAGTGTCAAGTTTTTTCTTAACATACTGAGAACTCCCTAGTTGAGACACATTAATTTTCTTGCTTGAGCTGAAAATATATTTTAAATGTAAATGACCTGATTATCTTATCTCAACTATATTTTCTCATTTACTTTTAACAAGCATTTATAACAAAAGAAATGTAATCCCTTTTAAAACTAAACGAGAAATGTTATCAATACTGCACTGTCTAGAGCCCAGGTGTAGCATGGCCATTTCTCAACCATATCCAAGCAGGCCAACAGCACTTACTTTATTCCAAGCCCATCGGAATTCTTGAAAATCAGAGGGTCTCGTAAGCCACCCCGCTGGATATACTCCACATTAAAATCTGTCACCAAAGGAGAACAATTGTTAGAACAGCAAGCGGTCTAGCTGGAAAAAAGTAACTGAAAAGCAGGATTTAGGGATTTTCTAAGTCTGTATTTCCAGAGTAAATTAAAAATTTGACCAATAGGGGGTAGTTCTACTAACGAGTCATCTCATAAATCCTAGGCAGAAATTATCATCATCATCCTCTTTTTTAAAGAATATAAATTTTACTGATTTCAGAGAGGAAGGTAGTGGGAAAGATTAGAAACATCAATACTGAAAGAGAATCATTATTGGCTGCCTCCTGAACCTCCCACAATGGGGATCAAGCCCACAACCCGGGCATGTTCCCTGACCAGGAAATCGAACCATGATCTCTTGGTTCTTAGGTTTGACACTCAACCACTGAGCTACGCTAACCTGGCATCATCCTTCCTATTATAATAGCCAAAAACTGTAATTTTGTCCACTACATCCGTTGGTTTGCCAAGGAAAAAGCTGCATGGTATACATGGAATCACATCTCAGTTTTGGTGGGCGGTATATGCATAAAAAAGCTTTTACTGCACTACTAGAGGCCCAGTGCACAAAATTTGTGTATAGGTAGGGTCCCTAGGCCTGGCTGGCAATCAGGGAGCTCCCACTGGCATCTGCCTTAGCTGGCCTGGCGCCACCCACTTGCCAGCCCAGGCCCCTGCCGATGCCAGTAGGGGCCTGTGGGCTGGGGGCAGCTCCTGCATTGAGTGTCTTTCCCCTGGTGGTCAGTGAGTGTCATGGCAACTGGTCATTCTGCCACTCAGTTGATTTGCATATTAAGCTTTTATTATAGTACAGGATTTATAATTAAACCCAAACCAAGGAAAGGGAGAAAAAGAAGAAAGAGACCTTTAGAGAAAAATTCTAACAATATTCCTGCCCTAATAAATGCTTGTTTCTTCTAATACAGCAAAGAAATGCCTCACAGGGTGGGAAGACCTGGGGATGACGGTGTGTGAGTGGCACTGTGTAAAAGGAGAAAATAAAGATAATAGCAGCATAGCATCAACAGGTGATATTCTGGCTGCATAGATGCTTACTACAGTTCCCAGAATTTAAACTTCCTCCATCAAGGGACTACCGGTATGAACCAAAATAATACTAACCTTTTCCCTCCATAAAAGTAACAAAATTTGCATTATATTTGTTGGTGTGAAGTTTTTCTTCCAAGTCAAAAGTTCTTTTCCCTTCAATTTCATCATCTGAAATGCCATCATCTTCATAACGTCGTCGCATGGTACCACGCTGGGGAGAGAGGGACATTGAAGATGAAATCATGTACTTTTTCATGCCGATCTAAAAGTGGTCAGTTTTCACTACCTGTATGGGCAAAGTGCTACTTTCAACTTTATTTGCTATGTCAAGCATCAATATTCCTGCCTTAAGATCTTGTTCTTAACAAAAGGCGAGTGTTTTCTAATAATGTATGGAATAAAACCAAGTTTTAACGAGCCACTGGGTTCCCTACTTGTGGTATGTTCCTTCTGCTAACTCAGCCTAATGATATAAATTTATAATAATAATTTGACCAAAAAGGGTCTAGTAAACATTTTACTTGTCAATCACTGCTTATCAGAGTAGGAACAAACTGTCTTTATGAACATTTCAATCCAGGATACAAGACATAAATTTTTCACAGGGGAAAGCTGCATCTATGTTACCTTCAAGAATAGAGTACAACATTTTAATTAATGAAGCAAAAACTCTAACATCAGATAAAGGAATAAAGTTAATTTGAACAAAGCATTCCAAACAGTAACCTCCAATATTTTAACTTTAAGGATGTCTTCCCAAAGAAGATATACAAATGCCAATGAGCACATGAAAATGCTCAAGATCATTAGTCATTATGAGACGTGCAAATTAACACCACAACGAGATGCCACTTCATACCCTCTAGGATGACTATTATGAAAAAGATGGGCAATAAAAAGAGTTGGCAAGAATGTGGAGAAATTGAAACCCTCATACATTGAAGAATTGAATCTAAAATGGTACAACCACTTTAGAAAACAGTTTGGCAGTTCTAGTCATTCTACTCTGAGGGGTGTGTGTGTGTGTGTGTGTGTGTGTGTACACACACACTAGAGGCCTGGTGCATGGAGTTCATGCACTGGGTGGGGGGGAAGTCCCTAAGCCCAGCCTGCACCCTCGCTATCCAGGAGCCCGTGGGGGATGTCTGACTGAGTACTTAGGCCTCTGCTGCAGTGGGAGGGCTCCCACCACTGCTGCTGCGTTCACCAGCTGCGAGCCCAGTTTCTGGCTGAGCGGCACTCCTCCTGCAGGAGGGCACTGACCACCAGGGGCAGACACTCAATGCAAGAGCTGCCCCCTGGTGGTCAGTCTTTCTGCCGTTTAGTGGATTTGCATATTAGCCTTTTATTATAAAGGATATAAAAAGAATTTAAATTAAGTCCATACAAAATGTTCATGGCAACATTCATAATAGCCAAAGGTAGCAAGCCAAATTTCAATTGATGATGAATGGATTAACAAAATGTGGCTTGGCTCTGTAGATAGAGCGTTGGCCTGCGGACTGAAAGGTCTCAGGTTCGATTCCGGTCAGGGGCATGTACGTTGGTTGCGGGCACATCCCCGGTAGGGGGTGTGCAAGAGGCAGCTGGTCGAAGATTCTCTCTCATCGACATTTCTAGCTCTCTATCTCTCTCCCTTCCTCTCTGTAAAAAAATCAATAAAATATACTTAAAAAAAAAATGTAGTAGTAAAATGAGTACGGGTTTGGAGCTAGGCAGACCTAAATCTGAATCCTGATCAGCAACTTATTAAGCTTACATAAACTGTAAGACTCAGTTTTCTCATCTATAAAATAAGGTTGTATGAAGTACCACCAATTTCAGAAATTGTTATAAGGATCAAATGTCATATCTTCTGTATGTAAAGTATAATAGTGCCTGGCACATTAGCTGTGTGGCTCAGTTGGTTGAGTGTCTTCCTGTGCACCAAAAGGTTGCCAGTTCAATTCCCGGTCATGGCATATGCTCAGGTTATGAGCTTAGTCCCCGGTAAGGTGGGAGGCAAAAGATGGATGTTTCTCTCTCACAATGTTTTGCTGCTTTTTAAAAAATATATATATTTTGCCGAAACCGGTTTGGCTCAGTGGTAGAGCGTCGGTCTGTGGACTGAAAGGTCCCAGGTTCGATTCCGGTCAGGGGCATGTAAGTTGGTTGCAGGCACATCCCCGGTGGGGGGTGTGCAAGAGGCAGCTGGTCGATGTTTCTCTCTCATCGACGTTTCTGGCTCTCTATCTCTCTCCCTTGCTCTCTGTAAAGAATCAATAAAAAAAAAAAAAAAAAATATATATATATATTTTAATTGATTTTTTTACAGAGAGGAAGGGAGAGAGATAGTGAGTTAGAAACCTGGATCAGCTGCCTCCTGCACACCCCTTACTGGGGATGTGCCTACAATCAAGGTACATGCCCTTGACTGGAATCGAACCTGGGACCTTTCAGTTCGCAGGCCGACGCTCTATCCACTGAGCCAAACCAGTTTTGGCTCACAATGTTTTGTTTTGTTTTTAAATATATTTTTATTGATTTTTTATAGAGAGGAGGAGAGGGATAGAGAGCTAGAAACGTCGATGAGAAACATCGACCAGCTGCCTCTTGCACACCCCCCATCAGGGATGTGCCCGCAACCAATGTACATGCCCTTGACCGGAATCGAACCTGGGACCTTTCAGTCCGCAGACCGACGCTCTACCACTGAGCCAAACCAGTTTCGGCCACAATGTTTTTAAAAAAATATATATTTTGTTGATTTTTTACAGAGAGGAAGAGAGGGGGATTGAGAGTTAGAAACATCGATGAGAGAGAATCATCGATCAGCTGCCTCCTGCACACCCCTACTGGGGATGTGCCTACAACCAAGGTACATGCCCTTGACCGGAATTAAACACGGGCCCTTTCAGTCCGAAGGCCCGACACTCTATCCACTGAGCCAAACCGGCTTCGGCTAATAATGTTTTTTAAAATATATGTTTTAATTGATTTCAGAGAAAGGAAGGGGAAAGAGTAGAGAGATAAAAACATCAATAATGAGAGAGACTCATTAGTCAGCTGCCTCCTACATGCCCCCCTAACTTGGGCATGTGTCCCAATCAGCTATCAAACGGTGACCTCTTGGTTCATAGGTTGATGCTCAACCACTGAGCCACACCAACCAGGCTCTTATTGATGTTTTTCTCTTTGTCTCTTCCTCTCTCTAAAATCAATAAAACTAAAAATAAAACAAAATCATTAAAAACATATTTAGCAGGGGTTGTGCAGGAGGCAGCTAATCGATGATTCTCTCTCATCGATGTTTCTCTCTATCCCTCTCTCTTCTTCTCTGTGAAAAATCAATAAAATATATTTAAAAACACACACACACTAAAATAAAAACATATTTAAAAAATAAAATAAAAGACTCCCTGGCTATTAGAGGTGGTCATGTTGCTTGCCCTATTTATCATACTATATACATAATTGTTCTCTAAACTGTGTTGTGGCTAACAAAGGTCCTTTATACACGTATTAGTAGTCCTGCACACGAATCCGTGTGCCAGTAGCTTGCTGCTGCCTCCAGTAGCTCTCGGCCTGCTGCCCCGCCCTCCTGTAGCTCTCTGCCCACCCCCATAGCTTGCTGCCCTGCCCCCTCTTGTAGCTCTCGCCCCACCCTCCCGCTGATCCGTGATCCAATCGTTACACAGTTGATCGGTTGGCATAATGACCATTTGTGTGTTACATCTTTATTATATAGGATACTGGGGGCCCGATGCATGAAATTTGTGCAAGAGGTGGCCTTTGCAGCCTCGATCCCTCTCAGCAGAGGTGGCTGCCTCCATCCGGAAGGTTGTCCAGTATAATTAGCATGTTATGCTTTTATTATTGTAGACAGTAACTCATCATCTGATCCTACCAATAAACCAGAGCTACAGGTCAGTAACATACAATGACATTAATCTCCCTACAAGGAATTAATCTTCTAACATTATAAAAATAAAAGCATTTGTGCTCATTCACACACTCTTTCTACTGGTAGTACTTGCGTTGCATGGTCCCAATATGCACATATTTCAGTTACCACAGTTTAGTTAAATAACATCAACCTCCTAACAATATAGTTCAAATTTAATTTACTATTGTATATGAACTGAAAGTAGTTGAATAAAGTACAAACTTTACTGCTAGTTTCTCAGTCCACAAAACACTCATAAATAAGAGGTGTGCATCATGATCAGTGAGCAATCATACTACTTCTTTCCAAGTCTGTGGAGATGAGTTCACATACAAACATAAGGCGAAGTATATTGCCTCCTAGTCTCCCAGTGATAAACCACATGACGTTTTATTAAAAAAAAAAAAAAAAAAAAAAGGTAATCAAAAGAGGGAACTGGTCTACAAAAAATGGAGCAAAGAAATAAAAAGTGAGCCCTATCTGGCTTGGCTCAGTGGAGAGTTGGCCTTCGGACTGAAGGGCCCCAGTCCAGGGCACAGGCCTGGGTTGTGGGCTTGATGCCCAGTGGGGGCGTGTAGGAGGCTTCTGATCAATGATTCTCTCTCATCATTGATGTTTCTCTTCCTCCCTCCCTCCCTCCCTTTCTGAAATCAATAAAAATATATTTAATAAACAAACAAAAAAACAGCCTGTTTAAAAACAAAGTGGAAATGAAATTTGAATAGAACATGAACGTAGTTATATGCATCAGAGGAACTAAGTGCCAACAAGCTGATCAACATAAATGAGAAAGTGATTATGATGAAAAGGATAAAGACATCCCAGGGGAAGCAACACCAGCAAAAAAACACACAAAAACAACAACACTTAAAGGAACTCAAGTCCTTTGTATTACTTCTGTTTTTAATTACAGTTTCAATATGAGTCTTGTTGATATCAAATTAATTCCATAGTTCAACTAGCCAATAAAACACTCTTAGAATTTAATAGCATATAAGAAAGCATTATACCCAAAGAAACATCTTTTCAGAAACGGAATAGAGATTATTTCACACCTAAGCCAGTGCACATAGTTTAAATTCCTGTGGCAACAAACTATCAAATGCCTGTGAAGAGACTTTGATTCATATGGACATGTGTCAGCTTGCCATATGGGGAGGCATATATAAGTCATTCAAATGATTATTACAGAACAAGATAGTGAAATTTGAGCCAATATTTTTCTCTTTTCAGATGTGTCTTAAAACTAAGTGTCTCTTGGTCAGAAAACTCTTAATCTATGAAAA